TGCAGTTGCAACTGTTGCATTTCCGCTTCTTCTTTGAGTTGCAACAGGCGAGCCGCCGATGGTTGCGTCTGTGCTGTGGCAGTAGCCTGCTGGCCACTCACAGCGACGGAAGTTGCCTTTGCTGGCGGTCGTGGCATTGCGTAGTCGGACGCCTGCAACATGGCCAGAAAATGAAAAAGTTAGCTGGAGAAGGCGACATCTTCTAGCTCAAGTCGCGAAAAAAAAAAAAAAAAATTCGTCGCGCTCGAGTGAAAACTGCGGGAACGCACCTCGACACTGAATTTGCCCCTTCCCGCGGCGGTTCTGTGTCGGCTCGGGTTGTGTGCTTTTGCTCGACGAATGCCGCTCCAGTCACTTATATCCCCTACTGGTCTCTTTCACTCTCTCTCTCTCCCCTTTCGCCGTTTCGCCCACGCAAACACCTGCTCCTATATATACCGCGACAAGTTCTGTCCTCGTTGCCGTCCTCGAGCCAAATAGATCGCAATGGGTTCTGAGCGGCAAACGCAGTGTTACAAGCAGTCGGTTTGCTGTTAACGCGTGCTGGAATTGGCGCAGAAGGCCAAGCGGACAGGACGACAGCAGCTCGAACCACAAAGTCCTTGCCTTCTGGGTAGGCAACAGATGTGCACCAGTTGCGCCGTCAGTGGTGAGACACATTGGCAAATGGAGACGCAAACAACTTGCAAGTTGCCTTTTGAGATGTTTTTTTTTTTCTTCTTTACCTTTGCTTTTCACTTTGGCAAGTTGTTGCCGTTGCCTTTTTGCCGCGCTCTTTCGGTTGGCTGCACTAGGACGAATGTGGGGCTCTGTTGGTGTTAAGCAAAGGGGAAAGATGTGGCAACAGGAGTGAATGTCAATTTGGAGAAATCCCATTGAAAAAAAAGCTCGTCCCAGCTGGCAATCCCACGTGGCAACACTGCAGCAAGTTGTCTGCTGCTAACGATCATCTGTGCCGTACCTGGAAAGCTGCTGCTGTTCGCTTTTGCGTGGGCGTGTGCAAGGTCCACAGTGGTGCAGTGTTCCGCCGGGCTGCGTCTTCTGCAAGTTGCCGCTGGAGTTGAATTGCCGCGCGCGCTTCGAGCTTGGGCCGTGCGTTATTCAAATGAAAAGGGAGAAAAAGCCCCCAATCGCTGTATCGACACGCAGTGTTCGCGCAGCATACAAACAGACAGTCAAATCGATACAATCATTGCGGCACAAAAGGAGAGAATTGATTGGAGGAGAAAAGGTAGGGAAGGGTGAGGGTCAGGGGAGGCAGCCTCAAAACGTTCCCCTGTCAAATGCGATTGCCGGGTTTAACAGGGGCAAGTTTCAACGTCGAAGGATCGCCGCCGAGATGGGGATCGCGACGCTG